AAATTTAATAATTTTATGATCTGGTCAGCATTTATTTTAGATCTAATCATTTGTTTATATTTTTTGCACTATTGTTAATTTATGAGCGTAAGTAATTATAATTTTCGCAAGTTTTTACTTGACCAGTTTTACTTGACCAACATCATTGTTTTAACCTACGTTAAATTGGGTTAGGACAGGTTCAATATGAGTGGGCGCTTAACCACCCTTCCACTCGATCTAATAGGTGTATTGTCCCTTTAGTACAGCCTTTTCAACATTGTTTACTATGGCAGTACATTAGGTACGAAGTCTTGGAGCTCTAGTTGCTCTCAAATATATCGAGCCTTGTTCTATCCAACTCTGGGCAGTTGTTCTTTTGGCTGTGCATTTTGCTATGTTAACGAAAGGTACTGGGCCTATGAATGTTTCTTTCGTTTCTCCCCTGGCAAGTAGGTCTGTTTTGTCGTTCCCTTCAATACCAGTATATCCGGGTACCAGAGTGAACTTACTTTGTTAGTTTTTCCCATTCGAATTAGATTCTGAAGACAGTTTGAAACTAACTTAGAGTCAATCTGGATTTCAGATAGAACTTTTCCTAACTATCAGATTTGTCCCTGTAGTTCCTCTTTATTAATTTCTGCAAGCATATCTGTGTAGCGTAGATTTCCCACAATATGTTCCAGTTACAGCTCCCTTATCAGTTTTAGAGTTTTAGAGACATCTGTATACCAGCATTGATCTATCACTATGAGATTGGTTTATTCGACTCCCATTCATTCATTCATGGAAAGAGGACGGTAAGTAAACGGCTTCTCGAAATTATATTCAGGTTGTATTGCATCTGGTACCATTTTCACCTCTGTTTTCGTTACACTTTGCAATGCTTCTTGGCATGCTCTCCGCCTTCTGCATGCTCCTACCTTCGTCTCCCTCTCCAACCATATATGTAATGGAGGGAGGTCAAGTGTGATCTCCAGAGAGGCGGTTGGGGTAGTCTACATACATCACTGGTGTTATGATTCAGCATGCTTGTCATTGAAGCCTCTCTTTGGTGGTTTTTTGTTGGCATTTAGACCTCCAAATTAGTGCTTCATTCGTAATTATACCTCTGACTACAGTCATATAGCCTGTATATCTCCTTGGGTTTTATAACATGTTTTCCTACATATCCTTCTACATGTCCAAAGGGAAAGCTTGTTCTAACCTAAAAAAAGTTTTTTACTTTGATCTCCCACGCACGTATATTCACTTTTAGCAATATTAACAATCTCTATTTAACCGTAGAGAAAAAAATATGTTTAGCGCTTTTAAAAATTTGGCTTAATATTTAAATTTCTTTCCTAGGCTCAAACCAATTTTCTTCTGTTTTATTATAAATTTTCTATCCTAATGTGTTGGTTGATTTGTGATTGTCCTGTTATCTAGGAACATAATTATTATCTTAACGCTGATAATGTCGATCATTGTTCTAGTTAAATCATAGATTTTACAACGATTTTAGCATTTATCATTTCTCTTCCGAGAAAAGTCACGATAAAAAATATTCGTTTAGAAGATTTTGAATGGATTAGTTTTTTTTGTTATATCAATTTTTTTTATATCTTTTAAATATCAGATCAGTGATCAAAATAGAACTTTTGCCAGTAAAATTATACAAAAACATGAAAAAAAAACATCTCCTACGTATTAGCATGCTATCCATTCCTGTTGTAACTTAAACATCATAGTTTATAAAGTTAAATAACGTAATTCAAAGTTAATTCAACAACATGTAGGATTCTTACCCATGTATTTAATGGCTTTTAACATGTACTTCCAGGTAGCACTGATGATGGAATATTAATTCCGAAAACATTCTATGATGTAGCCCGATAGGGTTTTTCACGTTATACCTTTTATAAAGGATTTTTAAATATATTTTTAATAAATGTATTGTATTTCGAATAATAATTTTATTGCTCTCAGGGAAATCAGTAGTTTTTGTTTTTAAACGAGGTCTTTTTCCCGGAGAAGATAAAACAGGATTTTTTCCTTTTCGTATATTGCATACTTTTTTTTAAATAAATATATATTGTATTTTGAATAACAATTTTATTCCCCTCAGGTAAATCAGTAGTTTTTGTGTTTAAACGAGGTCTTGTTTTTCCCGGAGAAGATAAAACAGGATTTTTTTCTTTTCTTTTTCGTATATTGTATACTGTTTACTCGCCAAGTTAAGTGCAGCTGCTACCCTAGCACAAAGCTAAAGTATTATCAATATTTTTAATTGAAATTAAAAACATTTTTTTCTAAAGTTGGTAAACCGTCCTGTCTAGTGAACCGAAAAAAATATTTTTTCTGTTCCATTTGTACGCCTATGGGTTAGGGGTCTCCCATTTTAGGTATTCCCGGAAAGTGGTAGTTTGTATTCAGACAGGTATAAACCGCTGTTAAAGGATTATTGCATTTTGAGTATTTGTAGTGATCGGTCCATTGGACTCAGCGTTACAGACGACGAACATATTTTACGTTAGTGTTGTGTTGTGCTTAGGCGACGTTTTGCCGAGAAATTTACATTTCAAAACTTTATTAGTTCATTATGAATTATGAAAAAAAAAAAAAATAGGAAAGGTTACAACGTTTATTTGATGATGTTTTAAGTGATGAACTAAGCGATCCAGACGTAAGATCTAGATCCGGAAGACAGTGAGGAAAGAATTTTAGAGGATAACGTAGAAGAGCAGTTAATTTATATCGACACGGAAGATGATTTAACTGATAATGAAAACGATATTAGTATTAATATGTTTGTTACGAGATCTCGAGTACTTTGTTTTATATCCAAAGATGGATCCAGATGGAAAAAACATGTTAACGAAAAACCAAATGTTAAAACTCGCCAGTATAATCTTATAGCACATTTACCTGGACCGAAGGGTGATATCAAAAGGGCTAAAGAACCATTAATAATATGGTCATATTTCTTTCCAAGCAATATTTTGGAAAAAAAATAGTGCAATATACAAATGAATTTATTGTTTCGAAAAAGTAGGATTCCATACCAAATAGAATCTACAAGACTACGGATCTAATTGAAATTAAAGCTTTCATAGAGTTGTTGAAAAGTGGCCGTCAAAATTATCAAGATTTGTTTGAGAATGGCAAGTCCATGGAGATTTACCGGTTGATCATGCCTGAACGAAGATTTCAATTTCTTTTTACCCACATTCGTTTTGATAGCAAAATAACTAGAGAAGTAAGAAAAGAGACTGATAAATTTGCCGCCTTTAGAGAAATTTTTGAAGAATTGGTTTCAAATCTTCCTAAACAAGAAAAAGCTACTCTAGTTTCCTAGGTACCTCGTAAAAACAAAAATGTAATATTATTATCCACAATGCATCACGATGACAATATCGATTAAAAGACAGGTAAACCAGAAATGATTGTGGATTATAATAAGACTAAAGGTGGGGTAGATACTGATGATCAGATGTCTGAGGGATATAATTGTGCAAGATCAACTCGACTTTGGCCTTTGGTCTTATTTTTTGAACTGATGAACCTAGCGGCAATTAACTCATATATTATTTATAAAATTAATATTCACTCATCTATGAAGCGGCGTGTATTTCTGGAACTGCTGGGGTATGAATTAGTCCAAGAACAACTTTTGCGAAGAGCCCAGCAAGATAACCTCCCCGGAGCTCTTCGATTGCGGCTAAAGGAAATCATTGGCTTAACGTCCAAGCTGATCCACTAGATCAAAATAAAACCCATGGAAGATGTAAAGATTGCGAAATAAAAAAACCGTAAAACTAGGTTTAGGTGTGACGTTTGCAAAGGATTTACCTGTCTAGAACATTTGCATGGACTGTGTGGTGACTGTTTTCATGACCATAATGTAGATGAATAATTTCAGTTTATTTTTACGGTAGCTTAATGTTAGTATCACTATTTTTTACTTTAAACATTGCTCTTTATTCGCAGAAATGTTTTTTTGTTCCTACCTTTATTTTTTTTGATAAAACCGTAATTAAACCAATTAGAACTTTTTTTCAACTTCTTTTAGTAGCAAGATACTGGTTAAAAAACAACCCACAAAAAGTTATTCGTAAACAAAATTTATTGTTAAATGTTTCAACTTTTTAGATTATTGCAACTAAGAAAAATTATTTGTAATGTTTTTCTGAAATGCATTGAAATATGGCATAATTTTAAACGAATTGTTAACATGTAAATTATTTAAAATAAAAAACACTTTATCTTTTAACCGAACTATTATTATACATTTATTTAGCTTTAAAGGTGTTTAATGCCGTGGGCTTTAACTTAATTACATAGTTTACATATGAAATTAAATACAACAGACAGCGTTTAATAAATCTAATTTATTTTTCTACACTATGCTCGGACTATCAGTAATTTGTTTACTTGTGAACTAAAATTAAAATTATCTGAGGAATCTCCTGTCTTCGTTTGTCAAGAGATTTTCTGGACACCCTGCATATATATATATATATATATATATATATATATATATATATATATATATATATATATTATATATATATATATATAAATAAATAATTATTTTAAAAATACGTGTTAATTTTTGTAACTTTATTTTAAAATAAATTCTATAGCAATTTTTTTACGTTTACTGATTATTTAAGACAATTACGACTCAAATTCAAATCAATATCATGACCTGCTGCAGAGTTGTTAAGATATACGAAACGCCTTTCAAATTGAGTCGTTCTGTAATTATTTGCATAAATTACATTAGGCGCCAGTATACTCGCAATATTGTGACCTAAACTTCTGAAATTTCAAAATCAATTTCAGCTTGGCAGTAAATACGTTTGCGATTAGATTGCTATTCAAGCTACAGAAATGTATTGAAAATAAATGTCGTAGAAAAATATGATTTTTTTTAATACAATAACATTCCTATATACGAGTATATATTATTTGATTTACATTTCTTTCTTTAAATTAAAACCAACTAAAAATGTGACCATAAATCTTTTGCGTTCTAGAACAAGCCACGGATGGCACTTTGGCGTCAGAAAATTGGGCTCTTAATATGGAAATATGTGATCTCGTCAACGAAACCGAGGACGGCCCTAGAGATGCAATCAAAGCCATTCGTAAACGACTAACTCAGAATGCAGGAAAAAATTATACTGTAGTTATGTACGCTTTGACTATCCTAGAAACGTGTGTTAAAAATTGTGGAAAGAGATTTCACGTTTTAGTATGTAACAAAGATTTTATCCAGGAACTGGTAAGTTTAATTTGTTTGGGTATTACTTATACAAGGTATTTCTGAAGTAAAAGAATGACACAGAATAAGAAATCAATCACATGAATAATTCCAAAATATGTATACAGATAACGACATTGTTTTGTTGACCATAAGAATTAAGTTTGCTTATTTTTCTTTATTTTCTATGCTTTATTTTCAATGAAAATTGTACAAATTTTATGGACAAAGCTTATAACAATAAGAGAGACAAGAAAGAAGAAAAAAATCAGAATAAGAATCGTTTGTACTTTTAAATAAAAAAACAATAAAATTCTTCCAAATTTACCTAAAAATATAAAACATAAAAATTACCTAATAACCTACAAAGTTCGTAAAATTAACCTAACAAAAATTAAAAATTAGGAAAGCAGATTAATGAATTAAGGGCTCAAATATTCCACCTCCTTGTGCTAAACAGTAACCAAATCTTTCATACAGACTTCTCCTCATATTTTGGAGTAGGGCTGGTGTAATACTTGCAGAGAAATGAAGTATTTTTGCCCTTAATTCGACTAGGTTTGTGGCCCTTTCAAACTGATGCCTATAAATGTTTTTTTTTTGAGAAAACCCCAAAAAAAGAAATCGTTAGGCGCTCAGTCACAGGATCTAACGGGCCATTTAATTGTACCACGTGTACTTATCAGTCGATCAGGAAACGTTTGATTGAGGAAGTCAATAGTTGCTCTAGAGTTGTGAGCCGAACACCCATCCTGTTGGAAATAAACCTCCTGAAAATTAACAGGAAGGCGTCGAACTGTCGGAATGATCTCATTCTGTAAAAGTTGTATATATTTGGGCCCGTTTAAGTTTCCATCGGTAACAAATGGACCGACAATATGGTCGCCTAACATCCCAGTCCAAACATTTAACTTTTGCGGATGCTGCGTTCGCACTGCAACAGTGAGGTGCTTATTTTTCCGAGAATAATACCTTGCAACGGATGGATTGTGTTTTTTATGTAATGAAAATGAAGATTCGTCAGAAAATAAAATATATTTTAAAAAGTGTACATTTTCATTTTGTTTATCTAACATAAATTTACAAAACTCCATCCGCCTAAAGTTATCTTCCGGAAACAGTCATTGTGTTGGTTGTATCTTAAAACAGTGATACCCATTCCTTTTGAGAACTCGCTGGACAGTTCGAGCATTCACGTTAACTTCCCTAGCAATTTGTACACTATTGCATTTTGACGCTCCTCATCGACAGGTCTAATACCTGGTTCACTACCATACATGACACTTTTTACAACTGTTTACACATCCCGAAGGTTGAAAATGTTTAATGGTATTTTTAACTGTTGTAACACTTGATGAGGGTCTATTTTCGAAGGCAACAATAAATTATTCAATTACTTCGCGTATCGAATGACCCTGAAAGTACCATGTTACAAGTGGCACTTTTTCTTGGACGGTATACAACGTAATAGCGGCTTCCCACGATCGGCGATTCTACAGATTATCGCGGACAGCCGATGAGCACGGACGGCAACGCACCATAGACAGAGCTCTTCCGGCCCATGATAGTCTGTGAAGGTCTCTACTTTTGTTTTTTGCCATTTGTATGTCGACATTAAATTGTCTCCCTTCTTTTTTAAGTCTGTAATCCAAATTGTACTATTTTTCAAATGGTTGTTTATTCGGTTCCATGCATCGTATATATCGTTCCGGTTATTATGCTCTGGCGCCGTAGAATTCCATAAACTTGGTTCATTTTGATACAAATTTAAAAAATTAAAAATAACTTTGTCCATTCTATTTTTTAGCAAAAAGCTTATAAAAAAACTGCAAAACAACTTTGACAGTACTACACACAACTACTCGTGTCAGCGAATGAACAATTTCTCACTTAAACTTGTCTGTTAAAACACGGACGCAAGCGTATCGTGTCGCACGGTCATGTACCGCACCTTTGATGTTACCGACTCTGGATGGATACGGCACACCAGCACAGACGTGTACGGACGAGACCATTCCCACGGTGCGTAGGTGCAAGCTGATCTGAGGCCGTCCGCAATATGGCCGATCGTGGGAAGCCGCTTTAATATGCATTTTATTAATTATTTATTTATTCTTTCAGAATTTCCTTTACGACAATTCGTACCTGCTTTGAAACGAATATAGAGGTGGAAACGTGTAACATGTCACAGCGATTATCATTGTGTTGTATGGTCAATAAAACAATGTCGTGATCTGTATATGTGAAAATATATTTTAGGTATAATATATATTAGAAAGATTTTTGTCCTTGTTATATACCTATATTGCTTCGTGTAGAGAACTCTTTTTATGGGACTTCCTCATCACGTTTAGGTAATCATGAACGGTATCTAAACGTTGTTGAAATTTTAGGACACTTTTAATATATCCAAAATCAATATCGTTGGGTAAAAAACTATGACCAGGAAGGAGATAGGGTAATGTAATTTTTTCAATAATTGTAGGATGGATTTCTAAAATGGTTTTCAGAATCAAACTATTTTAATATTGCGTTTTTGGCCGTCACAAGAGTCTGAGCACAAAATTACATGTTCTGTAGAACATTTTCTTCAATATCTTTCTATTACGTACAATCTATTACAATTGCCTACTTCCTGGGCTCCCCGACCAGCTTCACCTTCTATCCAAATATGACAATGACCTTTGCTATCCTTGCCGCTATGGATACCATGGTTATAAATACATAATTCACGCTTATATAATAAGAGCCTTAAGTGACACTGAAGATGGAATCAAAATCAACGGACAGACTATTAGTAATCTTCGCTATGCTGATGATACAGTCTAATAGCTGATAGCAAAGAATCGCTACAACGACTAATAGATAGAATAAACACGAATATAGACAAGACGAAGGTAATGGTGGTTAGTAGAACACGAAATATGCAGTTAAATATAAGAGTAAACAATAAGAACATCCAAAAAATCCCCAAGTTCAGATATCTCGGTAGTTGGATAACTGAATATCTAGATCCAGACATATAGATGCGTAAAGGATTGAGCAAGCCAGAATAGCATTTACTAATATGAGAACCTTGAGAATATGAGAACTTAACGCTTCGATATCGCTTTACTGCTGTAAAATGTTACATTTACTCCATACTGCTATATGGTGTAGAAACCTGGACCATAAAGGCCAATGTGATGAACCGAATGGAGGTCTTTGAAATGTGGGTATTTAGAAGTCTACTTAAAATTCCCTGGACAGATCACACAACAAATGTCGAAGTATTAAATCGAATAGGCAGAGAACAAGAATTGCTGCCAATAAAAAAAAAGAAGAACAACTGGGGTCATATATTTCGAAATTCCAAGTATTTCTTAAAACTTATGGAAGGGAAGATAGAAGAAAACGGGGCATCGGAAGAAAGATATACTCATCGCTTAAAAACATACGGGATTGGACAAACCTCGATGCCCATGCACTCTTCAGAACCACACAAGATCGAGAGGAGTGTCAGAATTGTCGCCAACATCCACTGATTTAATAGGGCACCATAAAAAGAAGACGCTTATATTATAAGATATTTGTTGAAATTCTCAGAAGGGGAAGGGTTTTTTCTAAATCAAAACAAAACGTTTCCACTTCTGGTTGATCTTTGCTCATCTTCATGTCTAAATTTCTTCTAGATTGTGCATTTAATTTCTAATTCTACACAATCACGTCTACTACTGTTATCTTTTTTCAACTTTTTCCTTTGAAGATTAAATCGTGTTAAAAATATTTTTTTGTAAAATGAAAAGTTAACAGGATCATTGTGTGCTTCTTCAATATACAATTCATACATTTTAGTTAATGTTATGTCTTCTGTTAGGTATTCTCTTTGTGTGTTAGCTCTTCGGTAATGTGAGTGTACTAAGGGAATTTCATTATGTGCCAAATTACTTTTTTGCATACGATTTTCCTTAATTTTATTATTAACTCCACTTCGGTAATGGTAATCTGGAACACCCATTGGACGTTTCATAGCTTTCAATGCTGCATTGACTTGAACTTGAAATTCACAAAGTTTGTAAAAAGAAAGGATTACACTCTGTCACAGCGGATATTGTGTATATCCTGGTAGTATTTCTTCTGTTACTTGTTTTTGCACTTCTACGCTTTATTGGGACTTAGGACACATTTGAACAAATTATAGCCCTCTTGGCATCATGAGATTCAACGTTGTAAAACTTATTAAATTCTTTTTGGCATTATCAACACCAATCTTTTCCAAACACTTACACTTACAAAGATACATACAGAACTGTTTTGATTCTTTACATACATTTCTCTGTGTGAAGTACCCCTTGTTTTGAATACAGCCCTTTATTCTTGGTTCGTGACTTTGATTTCATCTGTTTGAGTTCCATCTGTTTTGAGAAGCTCTGCCAGTGTTACCTTTTTGTTTGTCTGACCCAAAGTATAGTGGTTGTATGCCTGCTGTGTTTGTTGTGTTTTGTATTTTAAAAAGGCTTTCTTCTTATCTTCACATTTTTTCTTCACCTCCTGTCTAAACCAATGGGTTTTCTTTATTGATATGTTAGTGTTCTTTACTTTCCTCTCTCCAAGTGATTCTATTGCTGTGTTAATTATGTTATTTTTGAGTTTTCTCAGCTTTCCTCGATGTTATCAATATTTCATTCTCAGAAATTTTCTATGATATTCTTTTTCTGTATGAGTATGCCGTGGATTTCGTATTTAGTCCTTGGACTATAATTTTTATTTGTGTTGGTGCCGCTGTCTTGGGTGTGAAGTATTTCATGATAATTCTTATCTTGTATAATACTAGGCTATGGTCGCTACCTACATCAGCTGAGTTAAAGCTTAGTAAGTCGATTATTTTTGATGGATGTATATTTCTGTTGATTATAACAATATATCATAGATCTTTGTCCACGGGTGTCCACGAGTCAAAACATGTGTTGTTTATTCTAATTTTGTTATTCGTGCAGAAGTTTATCATCAGTTCTTCATTTATGTTTTTAACATTCTCGTTATGTTTTTACTTAATTCCGGGTATTATTTGGTTGTCTATTCGAGAGTTAAAATGCCCTAGTATTATCATCTTCTCTCTGACTTGATCTACTACTTGTTGTAATTCGTCAAAAAATGTTTCCCTTGTTATTTGAGGCTTATTAAGTACTTAAGGCCTTGTAATATTATTGAGGCTGTCAATAGTATTATAATTATTAATCGGCTAAGCGGTCCTTATTAAAATTCTCCAAGTAAATGCTAACTGATCTAAATTTTAACTAATCTTTTTATTAGATATTGAAAAACGTCGAAACCTCAATTTTCCGTAAATTTAATTTCCTTTACACTTTTCAGTATACTTTTAAAATTTAGTCCAATTGTCACTGGGCTCTTTTCTGAACTTGTTTAAGATTCTTCAGAGATTTATTTTGTATAATATCCCCATGCACGAATATATATTATCTTTTACTTCCCTCGTTTTACTAGATAATACTTTGAAAGTTAATTTTGATTTGAAGCAATTATTATTCTCGTTACTTGTTGATGTGTTAACACTTTTTTCTTTCTATAAACTGTACACGATGCTAACTATGTAAAAGTCAATTTCATTGATGATTGATTAAGCTCACATCGTTTGTTTGTTACTGATGTCTGCTACCTGTAACGAAGACCTTTTAAAATCGTGATTGTCAGACCTGTTCTTATATTTGACAAATTGTAATTCATTTGAGGCAAAACTTGTGATATGTCTGTACTCGATTTGTTACCACAATTCTCGTAATTCCACTCGTTATAATGTATTTGCAGATTTTATATATATATATATATATATATATATATATATATATATATATATATATATATATATATATATATATATATATATATATATTTTCGTTTGAATTTGCTTTCTGTTAGTAGTACTAAACCAATCTCTATATAGTCCAGTTGGGATAGCATTTGACCTTGCATGCTGTAACCTGCACCAAATTTTATTATTCTAACCTTTAGAGCGTCAACAGTAGTGTAATTTTAAAATCGTGACTAAATTCCGCCGTTGCGTCAGCCGTCATCTTGATTTTAAAGGAGAACCGTTATATCTCCATTATTTTCCACTTTTCGACTAAAATGGTACCGTGCGGTAGATACTTTTCTAGTTAAGGGAAGAAATAGTAAAAGGGGGAGGTTCGTTTCTGTTTATGACTTGCTGCTGATGACGTTACCATCTAGGGTTCGTTAGGCTTAGGACCTTAAAAGTTGATTTTAGCAAAAAAATTGTATAAAATACAATTCTCTTTATGTTTGTTTATGTACATTCAGGTCGTAAAGTTAAGAATAAACGAGATAATTCGAAAATTATGCTTCCTTCCCCTCTTTCCAGTAATTTCCCCCTATAACTTAAAAATTGTAAAATACCATTTTTATCGAAAAGTTGAAAATGGAAAAAGGTCTGTATAAAGAAAGTAAAGTGTCCATTAAAATGGGAACAAGAGTCATAGGAGACTTCACCACAACAAAAGGGCTCCTGCAAGGTTGTACCACATCTCCAACCCTATTCAAAATATACCTAGAGAAAGCCTTGACTACATGGAAAGGAAAATGCCAAGGCATGGGAGTACCGGTACGAAACGAATACCTATATTCGTTAAGCTTTGCAGACGATCAAGTAGGGATTGCACAATACCAAGAAGACCTCAGTTACATGATGAAAAATCTTCAAGAAGAATACACCAAGGCTGACCTAGATATTAACCTCGCGAAAACAGAGTACCTATCTACAAATGAAGAAGATTTAGAAGATCTACAGATTGACGACATCGTAACAAAAAAGGAAAGGATAAATTCAAATACTTGGGGTTTATAATCACGAAAAAGGCAACAACAGAGAAATAAATTAAGCAAAGATTAGGACAAACAAGAACAGCAATCTGACAACTTAACTCAATATGGTGGGAGAGACACCTAAATATGAAAACAAAAACACAGATTTATAAAACATTAGTGCGAAGTATTATGACATATGGGGCTAAAAATTGGATTATAAACAAGAAAAACAGCAGTAAGATAGTAGAAACAGAGATGAAATGCCTGCGAAGATGCTGCAGAATAACAAGAATGGATAGGAGAAATCATGACGAAATAAGGCAAAGATCATCAATAGAAACAGACATATTAACATACATAGAACAAAAAAACTAAAGTGGTATGGACATGTAAGAAGAACTAGCGACAGCAGATGGATAATGTATGGATAAAGAGAATAACCGAATGGGAGCCCCATAGGAAGGAGGAAAAGAGGACGACCCCGAAGATCTTGGATGAACGAAGTAGACGACGCCATGAGTAAGAGAGTCCTAAACGATGGAGAATGGAATAACAGGGAGAGATGGAAACGGTTTGAACGAGGGAAGGCAGTGATTACTGTAGAATCCCTGAATATATATATATATATATATATATATATATATATATATATATATATATATAAATGGCGGAGATATTAATCAAAAATGGTTCTCCTTTTAATTTTAAAATTTAAGATAGCAACTAACGTAACGGTTGGATTCAGTCGCGATTTTAAATTTGCACCCCTATTGACCCCCAATAAATATTAAAAGAATACAATTTGGGGCAGCTCGCCATGCAAGGTTAGGCCTTTTTTTCGTCTAACTCGACTGGACTAATGAGAGTTTAGATAAACTAAGACTAAGTAAAATTTAAAGGCAGCTCTCGTATAATAATGTTACTTTATTTTCATTTGCAATTAGAATATACCTGCTTAAAAATTACATATTCTAGGTAAAACTGATTGGACCAAAAAATGATCCACCCACAGCAGTGCAAGAAAAAGTGTTAAGTCTGATCCAATCGTGGGCTAGTGCTTTCCAAAATCAACCTGATATGTCTGGGGTAACAGCAGTTTATCAAGATCTCCTTGCCAAGGGAATAGAATTTCCTCCTACAGATCTCGATTCGCTGGCTCCCATCCATACACCGAAAAAGGTAAGTGACATCTTAAAAAATCAGGGGTCCTGTAGTTTTTTTAATCCGTACGCCCAACAACAAATTAGTTGAATTTTTGTTCTGTAAAAATATACGAAAATTAAAATATAAATAGTCGTCTATAACATACACACATCGACATAATTTTGGGGCAAAAACAAAATGCGAGGTTACAGAAGGATTTCAAATAATATATTTTAAATCTTTTTAATAAAAAGGTATAAGCAGGTGTCTCGAATATAAAATAAACATTTACAAGTATTATCGCAATAGCTCTTAAGAAAATTAAAAGAGAACTCCATAAGTAAAAAAATGATAACAAAAAAATTTTTAAAAGCTTGGTTGTTGATTACTCTTCTACATCTGTAAGGCAAACTTATGATCATGATCAATGTCTTGCTGCGGTATTATGTTCCACTCGATTGAAAGGCCCTCAAATAGTTGCGGTCTTGTACTGAACGCAATATTTTGTTGTAAAATGCGTCTGTCCAGTGTGTCCCATACATGCTCAATTAGGTTTAAATCTGGCGATTGTGCGGGCCATGGTAAAACTTCAATTTCATTATCTTCGAGGAATGTTCGCACGACCCTGGCAGTATGTGGACGCGCATTGTCGTGCATTAATTGAAATTGGGGCAAAGTTTGTTGTTCAAAGCGTACAACAATATATTCGAGAATAATATCGCGATAGTCTGTTGGATTTAGAAACCATTCCAGACAAACGGGATTGGTTCTTCCACCAACAGTAATGTCACCCCATACCATTATACTACCGCCTTGCTGTCTATGAACTTCCTGCATGGTAGCCAATCGTTCAGTATTGCCAGATCGTCTCTAAATTCTTGTCCTTGTATTTGGTGCAAATCCAAATCGGAACTTATCTGTGAACAAAGTAGAGGCCACTCACGTCTTACCCAAAAATGAAGTAGACCCTAGGAGACAGGGAAAACTCAGAGGATCCTAGATATTAAAAGGAATTGTTTATATAGGTATGAAAATAAAAAAAATATGTATGTTTAATATTTTCCGAAAAATTACATAACTGAAAGAAAAGAAACAATCACACTTAAATCGTATGATAGTTCTATAAACTTAAATTAATTGTTTATTTATTATCCAATAGAAAATATATTGTGAGTGAATAATAAATACCATATAATTACCTAAAAACGACGTTACTATAACATTTTAATTAACATTAAGATGAAAGGATGTTGGCAACATATTGGTGCCACATATTGGTGCTGCGTCCTTACTTAATGTTTTTGAATCTATTCTTCAGTTGCATTAAAGACCAGAAGTGAGTGAATACCATACCAAAAAAAGTAAATGCCAAGACATGCGAAGGCTACAGAACAATTAGCCTAATGAGCCACTTATTTAAAACGTTCGAAAGTGATACACGGCAGAATATATAAAAAATGCGAAGAACAGGTATCATGGACGCAGTTTGGATTCTGCGATTCCTTAGGCAACCGAGAGGCTCTATTCGCTGTCCAAGTGCTTATGCAAAGATGCAGGGATGTTAACTGTGATGTGTATACTTGTTTTATCGACTACAAAAAGGCATTTGATAGAGTAAAGCATGATAAACTTATAAACATCTTGAAAGAAGTGGGGTTAGATGATAGGGACTTGAGAATCATCTATAATTTATATTACAACCAAACAGCCAATATTAAAGTGAATGACCAATTGACAGAGGCAGTCTCCATAGATAGAGGAGTAAGGCAAGGATGCATTCTCTCCCCGGTGTTATTTAATATATACTCTGAATATATCTTCGAGCAAGCGCTGGGAGAACTACAAGAAGGCGTATTAGTCAACGGAATGCGTCTAAACAACATTAGATATGCCGACGACGCAGTAGTTTTTGCAAATAGTCTGGACGGTTTGCAAAGAATAATGTCGCGTATATCAGATATAAGTAGAGAACACGGACTTAATCTTAATACGAAGAAAACAAAGTAAATGGTAGTCAGTAAGCGCGAAATATTAAATACACAGCTTTTGGTTAACCAACATCCAATTGACAGAGTGGACAGGTACACATACCTTGGTACCAACATTAACATCCAATGGGATCACTCCAGTGAAATAAAACAACGCATAGGAAAAGCGAGATCAGCGTTCATAATGATGAAGTCTCTTTTCAGAAGTCACGATTTACCACTTACTACCAAAATCTCTCTCATTAGATGCTATGTATTTTCTACGTTATTATACGGAGTAGAGGCCTGGACACTTTCCGAAGCTTCTTTAAGAAAACTCGAGGCATTCGAGATGTGGTGTTACTAGATACGGCTTGTTGCAACTCATTCTTTAGGGCAAGGTATTTGGAAAGAGAGGACCAGGGAGAAGAAGAATATCTTGGCTTCAAAACCTGAGAAAGTGATTTAATACATCGACAACCGGACTACTCAGAATAGCAGCAAGCAAAGTTAGGATAGCCATGTTGATCGCCAACATCCAGAACGGATAGGCACCGTAAGAAGAAGAAGTTTAGCTTCTAGTTTTGGTTTTATATGTAGGGGCATGCAGGGACATTTCACTTTTTCTGATAAATTGCTTATTATTTTTCGAATTAAAAAACAATTTTCTATGTATGACAAATTAAATTTGTAGCCTCAATGACGTAGCCTAGCCGGCTTGTACGCTTAGTTGGTTCATGATTCTTAAAGCCATGCGTTAGCAAAAAAAAATTGTAGATTAGTTATTAGTAGAAAATCCAAAATGGATCACACCAGAAGGCGTTCAGTCGCTAGAAAACTAACCGCAATATAACTCCAAACTAATTTTGGCCATATTAACGATATTCAGCGTGATTTACACAGATAATTAGTGTGTGCAATTTAAAATGAAATCGAGTGTATACCATATAATTGTTCGCACATTTAGTACATCATATTATCTACAAGATTATTATACCTAATAACTATACATATTGATGTACCTAACAACTATATCGTTATAGTTAGATATTCTACTGTCGTATTATAATGTTCTCAGCCGAATTTTGTTCCGTTATGCATGCTTGCTACTTGAAAGTAATTTTACCATTTCAATTAATAATTTAAAAGTTTCTAATGGATCGATTTACTTTTTCCCCCAAAACAATTACATTATTTATAATTTATTGTATGATCTAGATTCAGTCCATTTTACTTTTGTTAGTTCTTGTGGTTTTGAAGTATTTGTTATTTACAGTATCGAGCGAAAGTTTAGTGACGGTAATGATTTAGTTAAACAAGTTTAATTTAAAGGAATAACATTTCGTTTGTTTGATTTGTATGTGACAATTTTTAACTGGTTCTCGCGTTTAAAAAATTTATTATAGTAAGTATTTGTAAGTTTTTATTAACAGAACCAGAAACTTATTTTTTGGCTTTAGTTTAAAATTCTTTCAACGAATTTTTGTTGGAATGTTCCTCTTGCTTTTTTACGTAACATCCATCACCATATTTTCTAGTTTTCTCCGCATGTTCATGTAATTACATAAAATACTGTGTTTTGACTTTTCTTTCTTTCATTGGAATATAAGTTGTACTCATACAACTTAAATGCGTTTCAACATTTTTATATTCTTAAATGCTATATAAATATTTTCAACAATTTTTTCACGAAATTTTGTTACAAAATATAAACTATTTATAAAGGAAGTCAGCGTTTATTATGGTAGTTTTCAAAATTATATCAATCACTAAGTTTCGATACTATTTAATGGTTTTATTTTTTAAATTATTGTAACTAGTTTGTTTTCTCCGTATGACTAGTGGACAGCAGAAAAACACCCCACTTCATTATAGTTATATCTACCAATGGAATTGACTAGAGCAGTAATCAGTGACTTGATATAGTTTTTAAATAATTTCAAAAAATATGTATTCTAACCATTCTTATTACATAAAAACCAATATCAACAATACATTTTTATAAACTGCCTTGTAAGACTGAATTTTGTGACTGGTAGCTCTTTTAGACAGCAGGTCTGCCTCAGATCAATACTAAGACCGCGTACAGAACTGTCACTAGTTTAAAACTCAGGAGAAGCGGTTGGCCTACACTCAATACCCTAGGACCAGTGGAGTTGTTATCAGATCAACACTCTAGTCCGACGGAAGTCGAACTCTCTCGTGCGGCGGCTGCTGTTTTATACGGTCGTCGGCCTTCCATCTCCTCTAACGCGCATTAATGGAAGTGGAACTTCTGGTGGGAGTGCGTGTGTACGGAGCGCTAACGGGATCGAGGCGATGCATATCGTTACACCCTCTTCTCTTTGAAAAAAAAGTGAATCCTACATGTATTCTGGTAACTTGATCTTGATTCTTCTGCCGTTGTTGCAGGTCACCCGGAATTTCTTTGTCCCATTTTCTACCATTTCCACCAAGTCGGAATTGTTTCCTAGTTGTGGCTCCTCCGGAGTCGTCATTGTTGTTGCTTCAGGTTCCGTCGGTGTGTTGTCAGCGCGGCGCTTCCTTGGTGATGATGGAAGCGTACTGAATAGCTGGTGAAACCTATTGAGGATGCGTTCTGCTTCCTTCCCTGGCGTGACAGGCAGCATATGCTTCTCTGGTGCTCCTAGTGTTCTCATTTTTTCGGGAATATCTAGTATGGCTGATTGCTGGTTGAACTGAGTTCTGCTTTCAGAATTCGCTGTCTAAGTACTGTCTGTCTTAGGTGGGGATAGTATTTCTTTGGAAGTGCCTTCTCCTACTCACGGTTTTAAATCTTTGACATGCCTGTCACCTATTTGCGGTTGCTACTATTCGACAATTTTAGTTTTACCATTATCGGTGATATAACTGATGCTACTGTGTATGGACTTGAATATTTTGGCCCTAGCTAGGTGAAAGCTTCACTTGCCGAGGATAGATGGTGCTCCTTTTTCATAATTGGATTTCCTGGATGTGGACGCCAGTTCCTTCGCCTTAGATCGTAATGCTTCTTCTGGTCTTCAAAAGTATGTTGTGTGTGTAGTTTTGCCAGATCCCTTAATGCTTCTGATTTATTAAGTTTTCCGCGTACTCCTGTATATCTTGGCATTTTTTTCCGAAATTAAGAAACGTTGATTAAAATCATGCCGAATCATGTTGTGACGAATTTATAGCGCAGCAAAATTCCGATATAAATTTATCCCACTCTTTATGGATATCCCCCACGTATGTAGCTATGTATCGATGATCGGGATTGCGGATGCTTTATTTATCGGTTGGGCGATAATCCTTTTCGTAAACCGGTCTTGGATCAAGAAAATGTTCTGTTTTGTAGGTCTTTGGAATATATATATATATATATATATATATATATATATATATATATATATATATATATATATATATATATATATATATAATGGCTGGGGTTAAACCGCAAATGCTTTCTAGATCCTATTTCTTAAGTGGATCAGTCTTTTTTGTTTATCTTATCTTCTTGACAATAGCTCTCCATTTTTCCTGTCTCTAGTTCTTCCTCTCCATTCTCTGACTCCTGCCCTTTGGAAGTCTTCTTCAACTTCTTGCAACCACTTTGATCTCGGTCTTCCCCTTTTCTTTCTTCCTCCTGGATTCCATTCTATCATTGCGTATGTCACTGCCTCATCGCCTGCTCGCCAAATGTGACCTAACCATCTAACTCTGCATTGCTTTATTTTAGTTACGATGTCTTCCTTAATTTCTGTATTTGTTCTGCTTCTATATTCATTTTACTCTGTTCTGATTCGTCCTAGTATGGTTCTCATAATCTTTCTCTCTGCTATTCTTAAGTCTTCTTTATCTTTTTTAACCATCGTCATTGCTTTTCCTGCATATAATAATATTGGTTTAATTATGGTGTTATAAATGCTCATCTTACTTTTTTTAGTCAGTGTTTTGCTTTTAAGTAATCTTTTGTTTGCAAAATAAGCTTTATTCGCTGTTAATATTTTTTCTTTTATTTCGGATTTCCTTTCTCCGGATGTACTTATTGTAACTCCTAGGTATTTGAAGTATTCTACTTCTTCAAACTCAGAACTTACTATTTTAATAACATTCCCTAACATTTCCAATTCTAATTTATACTCGTTTGCTTTTTCCATTATTTGTTCTATTGTGTGTATTGCATCTATTGTAGATCTTCCTTCTGTGAATCCACATTGGTACTGTCCTACTGTCTTCTTTGTGATCTTTGATAACCTCTTTTTTATTATTGATGTCAATATTTTATATGTTGTATTTAGTAACGTTATTCCTCTATAATTTTCACAGATTTGTTGGTCTCCCTTTTTATGTACTGTTATGATCTGCCCTACCTCAGAGTCCCATGGCATTTTCTCTTCTTTCCATATATTTTTCAATAGTGCCAGTATTTTTCCTCTTAGTTCCCTTCCCCCGCATTTTATTAGTTCCATATTAATTCTATCTTTACCAGGGGCTTTTCCATTTTTACTTCTCTGTATTACTTCATCCAATTCCTCTAATGTTGGTTCTTTTGAAATTTCGATGTCTACTTCTTCATCTACTCATCTGCTTCTTCTTCGTGCACCGTTTCCTCCTCGTTATGCATTTCTTCTGTTGTTTCCTCCGTCAAGAGCTCTCTGTAGTAATCTCTCCATACTTGCTTGTATTCTTGGTCCTCTATTATCACTATTCCCTCTCTATTTTTTATTCCGTTTGTTTTGCCCTTGTATTTTTTGTTTTGTTCTTTAATCTTTTTGTAAAATCTTTTCGTATTTCTGTTTGTTCTTTCCTGCTCTATTTCCTGCATTTTTTGTATACCCATCTTCTTTTATTTTGCCTTATCACTTCGTAGCATTCCTTCTTAATTTTTCATATTCTTCTCTGTCTTCCTCGTTATCTATTCTTAGCCATTTATTTTTGGCTTGCACTTTTTTCCTGTTATTTCTCTACATTTTTGGTTATACCATCCGTTTTTTTGTTTTAGCCTGACTTTTACCTATCTGCATATTTGCACCTTCTTCTATCGATTTTTTGATCGTCTCCCATTCTGTGCTTATACCTTCTGCTTTATATTTCTCTTTAATTTGAACTGTTACTGCCTCTTCATATTTTTTTCTTACTTCTTCATTACTCATTATTGACATTCCACTTTTTATGTTGTTTTTTTTGTTTTGTTTCAATTTTAACTTTTTGTCTTATAGTGGCTGTGACCATGTAGTAGTTTGAATCTGCACACGCACCTCTGAACGTTTTTACATCTTTTATTGACGGTTGTATTCGTTTATTAATCATTATGTGATCAATTTGACTATATGTTTTCTGATGTGGTGACCTCCATGTTACCTTATGTATTTTAGGGTGTTCAAATTTTGTTGAGCTTCTTAACAAATTTGTTCTTGTTGCTAGGTTACATAGTCTTTGCCCATTGTCATTCATGTTTTCGTGTATTGTAGGCTTTCCTGCAATTTGTTGTAAAAAGTCCTCTTTTCCAATCTGGGCGTTGAGGTCTCCTAGTACAAATATGACATCTTCTGTTGGTATTTTTTCTATCTCCTCTTCGACCTTATCATAAAAGATTTTTTTTTCGTCTGAATTGCTTGTTTCTGTGGGGGCGTATAAATTCAAGACTGATATATTAAATGGTTTGCTGTTGACTCTAACATAGGCCATCCTTTCGCATATTGGCTTGAAATTTATAATTTTCTCTCTTAGGTGCCTTAGTATCATGAATCCCACGCCTTTTTGTCCTTGCTTCTTTCCTCCTGAATATAACATTGTAAAGTCTTGTTTATCAATGTGTCCCTGTCCCTCCCTGCGTAATTCTTGCAGTGCTGCAATATCTATTTTATACTTTTTGAGTTCTTTTCCTATTTTTAGCATTTTTCCTGTAGCTAGCACAGTTCTTATGTTCCATGTGCTTATTTTCAACTCTTTATTTTTTTTTTGTTCTGTTGTCTTCGTCTTTTATTTTTGTTTTCTTGTCCATATTTCTTTATTTCACTTTTGTTGTACCCGGGTTTATTTGCAGTCATTTCGTGTTTCTTTGCCTCGTCCGTCAACGAATAATGCATCCTCTCATCCCTTGCTAGTTTTTTTAACCACTTCCATGATGTTCCTCCAGCTGGTTGGTGTTTCTATTCCATCTCCTTTCTAGACCATCTATTATAAGTTTGTTGGCTTTAATTTGGACACGTTTACCTTTATTTCATCTTTTGTTATTCTTCGTATTTCCTTCTGTATTTGTAATTCCTCTGTCGTCAGATCATTGTTTATATATTTTTTTTTTTACTTCTTTAAGTTTACTTTTGTTTTCCATAATTTTTGTTTTTTCTTCTTTGTTTGGCAGTCTGACTAAACATGTTTTATCTCCTAGTTTCACTGCTTCTTCTATATTTACGGTAATATTTTGCTCATTTGTCATAAAATTTCCTATCACTTCTTGTAGTATTCTTCTATCTCCAGTTTCTATTGTCATTCCCTGTATTATCACATTATTTTCTTTTCTTATTCTATCCATCCTTTCAAGGCGTCCTTTTGTCTCATTCAGATCCTTTTTGATTTGTTCATTTTCTTTCCAGATTTCACTATTCTCTTGTTTTAGTTCTGCTAGGTCAGTTTTGAGTTCCCTCATTTCTTCTCTGTATTGTTTTTGTTCTGTTTTTATTTCTTTTATATTAGTTTTTAATCCTTGTAACTCTATTGTTAAATTTTTTATCATATTTAGTATTTGATCTTTGTGACTTTTAACTGGACTTCTTTGTACTTTTTGACTGGGAAAACATAACAGTTTCTCTTCTTCTCTATTTCTTTCCCGATTGTCATCGGATGTATTATCATCTGAATCATATCAATGAATACTCTGGTGGAAAAATCCCTACATGGAACCGTTCATATATAGCATAGGATCGCAACCAATGGAGACAACAAGCTAATAATATTTAGAGTGGTACCACACTCTGAAAAGGGCTCAAGTAATGAGGAGGATCATGTTTCATAACAGAAAGTGGAGTCTCAGAAGACGATATTTGTATGAGAGCTCAGTAAGGATTCAGCATGCTCAGCCTCGTTTGGAGGTCTGGTCAGTATGCCACAAAGATAAAGACTAGTGTCAAGTCTGTTCTACTCTAATGATGTAAAACCTGGAAAGTGACAACACGCCTTATAGATTAACTGCAGGTCTTTGTTAACAAATGCTTACGAAGAATTGTTCGTATTTTTGGCCCAGCACCATCAAAAATGAAAATCTGCTACACCTGACCCCACAGAAGGAAATAGAGAATGTAGTAAAGTCCAGAAAATGGGTCGGATCGGCCTCACACTTCGTAGAAATAGCTCCTGAATTGCGAAGACTGTCCTAGAGTGGAATCCTAAAGGAAAAAGAAAAAAAAGAGAACGCCCAGCACAAACTTGGAGAAAACCAATCATGGATGAAATGAGAGGTAAAGTAAAGTCTTGGGACGAGGTGAAGGCCTTAGCGCTAAATAGGACTGGATTGCGTGTTTTCACCGAAAGTTTATGCTACAGTTATGAGCTAAATACACAGATTGTTATATTCTTTATGACTTTAATTCCAAATTTGTAATTCAATAATTCAAGACATGCCTAAGAACGCTATAATACGCCACGACTGAAATAATATAGGTCTAATTTTATATCACTAGGTATAATCACTAATTATTTTATAATTCTAGTATGTAATACAACTTTTAATAACTTTTAGATGTTTAAAAGGCAATTAGCAATCCGAAAACAATTAAATATAATGCAATATAAAAATATATTTTTATTTATCTTGATTGTTATACATTTTGTTACAAGACGAATGTTTCTATCATTTAAATTTATTTTAGAGTGTCTCCAGTACAGAAATGCCGTTACCCACAGAATCAGCCCCGGTCCCACCGACTCAAGTTTCGCCTAGACATGCTCAAACTTCCCCGGGGTATTAACACCCGAACAAAGAGCAAAATTGCAATCCGAACTAGACGTTATACAGAGTAACATGGCTGTATTGGGTGAAATGTTGTTCGAGCTTAAACCAGGAGAAGCACAACCTGATGAACTTGAATTATTACAGGTTTGTATTGATAATATTTTATATGAAAAGTACAATAATAATTATTGTAATTTTATTACGATTTTTCGAGCTTGTTAACACGTTCGCACCTAACCTATTGATACTAGACGTTCCTCAGAAACGGATATGGGTTTTTAGGTAAAAAACAGGAATATTGGATTAAAACTCGGATACATGGATTAGTATATAGATATTAAAACATTTTTTTTTGGTTTACTTAGCCTGTCAGTATACTAGTAGTCAGGATATAGATGTACGTTTTTAACTATATACTAAATACCAGTATACTGGCAGGCTAATGTAGACAAAATAAACAACAATAATCGCTGTATAATTTTGAAAAAAAATTCTCTTATCAATTTTATCATTTTTTTTATTACAATGGAAACATAATTATCATTCTAAACTTAAAACTATAAGAAATAAATTTATTGTTTGACTTGTGTATGGAACAATTTGTATCAAGGAACTATGCATAGTCCTGTTGAGTCGGGGCAGCTGGGACAATAATAACGGGACCTTTTTCGGGCATTTTGCTTAGTGCAATATCGGCACCGTAATATACCACTTTTATTTTTTTCCGTGACAGGAACTTGTTCTGGGTAATGCATATTGTTTGCAGTTGTTTGTACCTGAATAACCTTGTTATTGTCGATAAGGTCCATTACTATGCTCTCACGAAATTGCAAAAAAGAAGTTTTCTTATTCGATGCTCTCTTGTAGATGTAAAAGCTGTTCCAAATGCATATGTCTAATAGATGGAAAAACAATTTTCTATACCACCGAAGTGTTTTTCTTGGTACCTCAGTAATAAGACGGTCCTCAGTATTAATATCAGTATGCTCTACGTATCGTAGCATTTTTAAAATCCCTAGAAATCTATCGCGGGCCATAGTTTTTCCAAAAACAGGGTGGTAGTAAATACTTTCTCTGCTCCAGTGTTTGACAAGGGAAGGAAATTTTACGATGCCTCCCAAAACACACAAACGTAGGAATTTTTTGATTTCCTCATTAGAAACTTCTTTCCATACACTTCTTTTTCGTTGAAGTGTTGTAGATGTGGATACAGTGGGTCGTCTATTAGTTTCACATACAATTGTGTTGATTATATCGTTGTCGAAAAGCACATTAAAATAATCTATGGGTTTTGCATTGGCCGGAAGATTTACATTGATAGATGGTATTCCAGTAAAATCAAATTCTGTTACATCTTCTTCTACTTCGCCCCAACCATAATGTTCATCTGAAATGTATTTTGTAGATTTTTTCTGTGTCATAGTGGTATTTGTTGTCTTATTATGGCAAATATTTGGTTCATCTGTTAGATCAAAATGTTGTTCATCCCCAGATTCACTTTGATCGGACTCTGTATCTTCAGAACTATTTACACTAGTTTCGCTAAGATAAGTTTTATCAACTACAGAATCATCGTCATAAAAATCGTCTTCGGACTCATTAAGATTTTTTGGAGACTATCGAAACATTCTGCCTCAATTTTTTTATTTGCTTCAATTTGTAATTTTTGTTCTGTTAACGGGCGATTGCTAGCATACTTTGAAAGTCTAGTTAGGGAAATGCACAAACTATTGAACCACTCTGTACATAACTTTATTTTTCATCTAAATTTTATAATACTTTTAAGAACAATTAAAACATTTCAATATTATTTATTCGTCCAAGAAACATTCAAGTGTTTATAATGGGGCAATAAAAAAAATCTTGTAACCAAATAAAGTGAACAAAATTTAAGAATGCTAAATTTAACTTAAGAGTGAGAGGTTTAAGTTCATACAATCAACTACATTTAAAGTAAAATCATCTAAAAAAATAATAAAAAAATTATCAAAAGTGGAATTAGTTGCACAAGGGCTTTTAATTAATCAGTAACTAAATAACACTAAAATATTAGACCAAAATTATTTTGTTTTTTTACTAGCACTATTATGACTTATTCTATAAATGATATTTAATATTTCTTACCCTGGAATATTTGCATTATCCATATTTCATCAATAAAATTCACCAATATCACCATATAACCTTAAAATTATCACGTGCTCTAAATGTGTCAATAAAATTGTTTAGGAACGAACTACCAGTATACTGGCAAAGATTACAGTATTAGAGACTACATACATATACGGCGTCTACATCTCGTTCCTTTACTCCTGGTCTGTGTGAATATATAAAGCATTGAAATTAGTAGAGCTGTGAGTCAGTAAAGTGGTAGTCAGTATATTACGGAAAACTCGAACTACCAGTATAGTGGTAGTCAGGTGCGAACGTGTTAATAATTTGCAAAGTACCTAAATATTAAACCAATATAAACTTAAGAATAGTCCACCAAAACAAGAGAACAAGGACTAAAACTAAAAAGTAATTAAATAATTGAAAAAAAAATTAATAAGACAGTCGAAATTCATAATCAGTAATTTGCAGTGCAAATTGTGGCTTAAAAATTTGTCCATTACGACAGATTTTTTTCCATTACGACAGATTTTTTTCCATCACAAGTTTGGGATCTGCAAGATACTAGATATGTTTTTTCCATGCAATCATAAACGAAATACGTATTAATAATACATTTTTCCCTCACAAAGAACAATACGAATACACTTTTGAAACACATATCATAGAAAGTAATGAAATCGAAGAAAGCTGAGCAAAAAGTAAGTCTAATATCTTAGCCTCGGCCAAGGAAGTTGTTGGTGAAAGAAATATAAATAAAAGTAAATCGTTCCCAAGGCGAAGAACTCCATGGTTTTGTACAGAAGTGAAGGAAAAAATGTAAATAAAAGAAAAAAGCTTACCTGAAATACATGTCAACCAAAACACAAGAGGCATACCATATTTACAAGACAATTAGAAACAAAACACATGCACTTGTAAGAAAAATAAAAATGATCACTGGGAACGCTTTACGAAAGAAATGGAACATGATTTTTACAGTCTGCAAAAGAAAATATGTCGCTTTATAAGAGGTCAAAGAACGAAGGTAAAGGAACTAATAGAATCAAAACACAAAAGGGATACGTGGATTTACTACCTAAAAAAGCTCTACATAGAGGAAGAACAAACGACGGTAGAACCGGAAACACCATAAATTACCACAAATGAAAAACTTAATATAAATGTACAGGAAGTTCGAATACTTGAAAACCTAAACAAGAGAAAAAAAAGCAGCAGGTAAAGACGGGATACCAACAAACGAATTACTGAAATATTGTGAAGCAGCAATAACATGTTGCCGAGAGGGGGCATTTGGGCCTGTGGGACCCATCGCCGGCTTTTCGGGCTTCTTCCTATCCCCGGAATTTGAACGGGTATAGACCATCTCTGATTTGCCGCTGGTATAAGGGTTAAATACCACTGCTGTTATAAATAACAGTTCCAGTGACAAATATCTGTTATAGGTAACGGTTCCAAGGAACAGTTACAAAGTAACAGAGCAAAGATGGAAAACAGATAGGTAAAAATAATCTAAGTATTCCTTGACTTACGGAAGGAATAACTTAGTAAAAACAAGTAATTCAAAATGGTATAAAAAATATAATGCAAGAGAAATGTTCCTAAGTGTTTCTTGACTTACGGAAGAAACAACTTAGGACAGAAATATAGAAAAATGAAATATGCAAGTGTGAGAATAAAATATGGAAATATTTCTAAGTGTTTCTTGACTTACGGAAGAAACGACTTAGAAATGAAAAATAAAGTATAAAACAAGAAATGCAAAAATGAAACAGATTATAGAAATACGTCTAAGTGTTTCTTAACTTACGGAAGAAACAACTTAGAACAGGAAAACAAGTAAAATAAATGCACAAATATTTATAAGTGTTTCTTGGCTTACGGAAGAAACAACTTATAATAGAAAACAAGAAAATCAAATACAGAAAAGATGTGAAAATATTGCTAAGCGTTTCTTGACTTACGGAAGAAACAACTTAGTATAAAATGGAAAATGAAATAGACAAATATATAAGTATTTTCTTAACTTACGAAAGAAAATATCTTAGATAAAATATCAGAAATAATAATGCGATATGAAAATATTTCTAAGTGTTCTTTGACTTACCGAAAAGAACTACTTAGATACAAAGCACAAAATCAAATATATAAAATAAAAAAAGGCAAGATAAATATTTCTAAGTGTTCTTAACTTACGGAAGAACAGCTTAGATAAAAATACAAGAAAATAAACAATCAAATAAAATAGCAACCAATCAGTACATGAACAAATATGTAATATTCTAACCTGACAAGGTCTGAATATACAATAATGCTGAAATAAAAGAAATGGTATGCAGGAAATCAGAAATAAAACAATAGCTTCATCATAATCAGCCAATCGCGTCCACTGCTGAACATAGGCCTCCCTTAGTTCTTTCCAGTGTTCTCTACACTGGGCCGCTTGTAGCCAGTTTCCCGCTACACGTTTAATGTCATCGGTCCATCTAGTCGGTGGTCGTCCTCGGCTTCTTTTATAATTTCTAGGCCTCCATTCCATAATACGTCTTGTCCACCGTCCATCTTGTGTTCTGGCTAAGTGCCCTGCCCAGTTTCACTTAAGCGTCGTGGTTCTTTCGATGACGTCTTGAACTCCTGATCTTCGCCTGATTTGTTGGTTTGTTATGTGGTCTCGAAGGCTCACGTTCAGCATTGCACGTTCCATGGCTCGTTGTGTAACTCTAAGTTTATTCGCAGATTTTTGCGTGAGTGTTAAAGTCTCTGCTCCATAAGTTTGTACAGGTAAAACAAATTGGTTATAAACCTTTCGCTTGAGACACATGGGAATTGAACTTTTTAGAATATGGCTTAATTTGCCAAATGCTACCCATGTTAGACCTATTCGCCTCTGTAGTTTATGTGTTTCATTGTCTCTGCTTATTTTGATTTCATGTCCCAGATATTTGTAAGTGTCTGTTTGTTGTATGGTATTATTGTCAATAATTATATTTCCACTCATTACGAGATTTGTTATAATTTTAGTTTTCTCAAAG